CGTCAGCGGTAGCATCACCGGGGTGGGGGTGGACGTGGCAAAGATGGAGCAGATTTGTACCATGCCTGAGCTCTCTGAACTGCCTCCGACCTACGGCGTGGTGCCCGATCATCCCGAAGAACTGACTGAGGTGAGCGCGCGCGAAACGCCCTGCTGCGTTTTAGTTAGACCGGTACTGCTGCGTTGTACTGTTGTTGTGTTTCGTGTCCATTATGTCGGCAACCTATGCTTCGTATACTAAGCAAAACGGTAAAAGTTGCCTATGTAGTTTCCCTCATAAACCCCCTAGTTCCAGCATGTTATCCTACAAAAACCGTGGTTATAAGGTTCTGGGGAATAGGGAAATAGGATAGGCAGAGAAGTGAAAAAATGTGGTCGAAGTTGTTTCCCGCGGCCGCTGGGAGTAAGTCTTTCCGTATGTAAGTTGAAGGTGCGCTTCGCGCCGCGGACATAATTAATCTATATCCAGAATGGTAAGTTGGACCTCAGGTAAGTTGAAGTAGACGACGTCCTAACCACCATTTCTATTTTTCGAATATTTCAAGAAATCTACAATTTGATAATCGGGTTTTTCTGCAATAAGTTAAACGATAATACAGATTAGGAAAATCTACAGATAGGAATCAACAAAATTTCGTAATTTAATAAAGTAAAAATGTATATAGCAGTTATTAAAGTATATTCCACTACTTATTATAATTCTCCACCCATAAAACACTATAACCGCCGTTTTTGCAGGGCAACCTGCTGGGAGCAGGGATTAATGAGGGGGACTACATAAGCTACGGTCGTCTGCAAAACTGTTGTAACTTAACGCCTAATGTTAAAGTGCGATTACGTCTGCTGGCCTTAAAACAAACAACTGACATAACTGGAGACGATACCGTAATGATGTCAAGTATTCAGCCCTTGAGTTCTATGTCGCACCGAATGGTTTTTTTTTCAGATGTCCTAGTTACACGCAATATTTGCTTTCGTCGTTTTGGGTCCTTCCAACCAAAAAGTAGCCTTCGTATAAAATATTAACTTGAGCTGACTGCCGGCAGAGGTCCGCAGATGCGAAATTCAGTCCAGATGAATCCACCAGTGGTGAAATGTGGGCTGCTGCATTTCAAATGTACAAAAGTAATGTCATCCTTTATGTTCTCAAGTATCCCAATTCCATTTTTGAATACAATAGGAGGTAAGGGGAAGTCTTGTCAGTATAAACCTTAATCTATAACTATTAACAAATATGAAATGTTTGACAAAAACAGTGTTGCTTTTGGAATTTACCATACTAACAGCCCAGGTCCTAGCTAAAAACCCAGTCGCGTGTTTCTTCGGTATTCTGCCGCTGCTTGCCAGAGTTCATGAGGGGACACCCCCCTCACAGCTGTGTCAAGCAGCGGCAGAATAGCGGCAAAACACGTGTCTGGGCCTTTTAACTAGGACCTGGGCTGTTAGTATGGTCCGTTAGCAGCAACTGTATATTAAGCAGTGGTTGGCGGCTTTCAGCCCCCAATATGCACGTACAATTTCGGTATATGCCTATAGGCCTGAAATATGCTGATTTATACCGCGGAAAGAAATTAATTTCTAGGGAAATTAAAAAGCCGAAAGTAAATACTTTAAAAGAACTACGTTTGCGCGGATGGTAGCAAAATCACGTTCAAGGCTTTTAGCCCTTGGATGAGAAACTTACAGTTCTCAGTGGTAAGATGGCATACTTTCTTTACGTATACAGTAGATTGGCCATCCCATTAAATGTGGAGTTAGAAATTTGAATACGTGGGCTAACGCAGATTTGATGTTTTTATTTTATTTATTGAATAGACTTGAGGCGCAAAATGTTGTTTACTAGTCAAAGGAGTTCAGTTCAGCGGCGTGTATTGAAGAAAAAAAAAAGTGGACTTAATTGGGCTAAATCCAACGTTTCTTGATATCCGAAGAAGTTCCTTTGCTATTACAAGCCGCAGAATAGGCCTTCCTGTTCTTGCATACCGTACCATGAAAAGAACATTAATGAAGACCAGAAACTTTAAATGTTATCTCTTCAGAGAATTCCAACAATTAATAAACAGAAGAAACAACTAGGAATTCTCCTTAAACCATGTTAGAATACATACCCAAATTTGGGGCTGTTATCTAATAGATATACGTTGCATTGCGCGTAATATAGGAACAAATATACTTGACAATTCAAAAGAAGATTATTCTCCAACAAGATGCTACTTGTTCTGCTTTATACACCGGTGTTTTTTGGTAGTAACAGGCTGTCTATATATTTTAAATTTTTTTTACCTAGAACACCAGATTTCAACTTTTTCGGTATTTTTTGCCTTTCTAAAAAAGCTGGTATTTCTAAACAACGTAATATTACTTGAAAGATTGCTTTATGTCTTATTTTAAAGAACGACCATTACTTTACTGCCGTAAGACTTTGGAGGGCGCAACATGAGCTGCCGTTGCGTGACAGGGATTTTCGTGTAAAAATCCTTGCATTTCCTGAGTTAAGCCACTTATTGTACATCCAGAAAACATCTGACCGTCCAATTGATGCCACAGTAGATGGCTCACAGCTTAAGATGCCAACCAGGTGGGATTTCGCCATACAAAAATGAAAAATTAAAGAGGGACCAGGGTGGGTTGTAAGGCTGCTTATCGCGCATCATAATCAGAGGGTATTTTACGTCGTCTATGGATGCACTAATATGCGGTGGTCTATGGAAACTGCGCGTGGGTAAACAATGTCTGCCTGGCTCAGGAAAAGTAAACCGCACTTCTGAAATGTTTCTTTCGATTCGAATAGCTTACTTAAATAGAATTGCCATATTGATAACCTTACGGCCTAATCTTCAGACATCTGAGTCACGTCCGGTCGCAGGCTTTTGAACAAGCACCTTTTTGACCGCCTGCACATGACTACTTAATTATTACTTAAGTAGCAGTTTAAAAAGGGTTCTAAACTGCCGTTTCATTGTGAACCCCGCCCGCTGTTTTACTTGCATTCACGTTTTCTAAAATATGTACATCCTGTATACATTTCGTCCTGTGATAAGTAAATATTTCCCTTCGGTGTGCGGAAGAACTCTTACAGTTCTCATAAATTTTGCAATGGATGTGGACTAAGTGCTATAATTTATAAGCGGCATCAACAACTGGACAGATACGTTACTGTTTCGTAAACAGTCGAACAGGCGACAGTTTGGCCCCCACAGGCGACAGATTTTCTCCTTAAAATCCCACAAATCGCATTCAGAACTAAACTTATGAATGATGCCTAAGGAGTTTTTTACTGTCTGCCCCCCCTACCGCAGTTCCATTACTGGCAATGCCACATTGTTCTGCGTGATAGCTATGTACAAAGAGGAATTTCAAGGTATTTACTTATATTTCCCTAATAAAACTGAACTGAACTGAACTGTATGCATTTTTCCAATGATTTTGAATTCGATATTGGTTAAAACGTAATTTTATAAAGTATGTGAAACAATTTCCTTCTCTCTACTCAATCTGAACCTTTCCACTCGAAGAAAGGTAACTTTGGATTTAAAAAATTGTAAGTATGAGATTTTTTAGAACGGGAAATATTCAGTCAACCGACCTCGTAATCGCCTTTGAAATATTTAAGCTGATCACATTAACCGTAAACCTTTGTGCGCCTTTAACCGAAATTAATCATTTCTTCAAACGGATAATGAATAGTTTGGACTTTTTAAATCCCAAACGTTTATGCAACGGCGGGTCACGTTAAAAATTATTAAAGAATTTAAAAGCATTCTAAAAGGTCAAAATGTCCTTTTTAGCGTAAAAGAAAACATTTCTTGAGGCCTAATCTTCGGCAATATATTACGAAATAACATATTTTGGGCTATGTATGCACTTGCAGTCAATGACCTATGTCCTGAAATCTCGTCAATTTAGCACGAAAATTCACTTTCCACATAATTAGCACACGCACCGTCCCAAAATGTCTTAGAGCAATGAAGGAAAGATTGTTCTTAAACACAAAATATATTGTAGTTTATAAATTGAATATTATGTTGTTTAGAAATACTTATTGTTTAGAAAAGCGAAAAAGTGATGAATCGGATTTACTAAGGAAATTTAAGTTTCGCCTGTAAAGAAGGCCTGCTCGTGCAAAAAAACGCAGTTATTCATGCGAAATGCGTAAAAATGATTTGAAATAGTCCTTTTTGTTAATCTTTTTTGGACAGATTCTTTGCGCAGTGTAAAGTAAGGCTGTTCCCAGAGCCTTCCCTACTATGTAGGTTCGACTCCCATCGGGGCCGCGAAGTTCTCTCAATTGGGTCAACGAAATTAAGCAAATCTGTGAAACCCCCTTAACAATTAAGTGAGCCTAGTAGTCATTCTGGTGAATTCTAGATGATTACTTGGGAAATTCTGCCTGGGCAGTCAGCTTGCTGTTCCGTAAGGGTGTACTCCATATGAGCAGTAAGTTGGGCGGGTAAAATCGATCCAAGTGGGATTAAATTCACGGCGCACGGTGAGCCTCGTAGCTAAGTTGGTAGAGCGTTGGCCTTCCCTGGTGTGTGTGGGTTCGACACCCCGAGGCTGCGACTTTTTCACAATTGCATCAACTGAATATTTCCATGTTCTCAAACAGCCCAAAATTTGAGTATGCATTCCAACATGTTGTTTCTTCTGTTTATGCATTTTTTTAGATACGTAAGAATAAGGCAACTAGATTTTGGCTTGATTACGCCGGCTGGGACACATGTGACACACATGGTCAAATGTGTTCAGCGAGACAGAATAAAATGGCGGCATGTCGTGGTTGTCCAAATATATGAGTGTTAAAGGTCGAAGTTATCAGTGTGGTAAAACGAACAGCAGCTGACCAAGTTTATTGCTGTGTTTTATGACAGAAAAAGTAAAAAATTCACAAAGCTAAAAGTTTTAAACTGAAACTGCCTTTCTTTTCTCGAAAACGATGCAATCCCTCACACTTGCATTTACTTGATTTTCCTGAACGCAAAACGAAATTTTTCGTGTTTTGAAATATATATAGTAAACATTTCCAGGCTTATATTAATTACAATAGAACACGCATGAAAAAGATGCTTGGTCTGCAGCATTTAATAGCAAAGTAAATTTCTTCGATATCAAGAAACGTTAAATTTGGTC